TCGTATTCAAATCTCCTTTCTCTCTCACTTGACATAAATAACATGTTATTTAATATACATTTTTTATTTAAATAATAGTTTAAATTTAATTTTCGTGAAAATGAATGTAAAATCTGTTTAATTGACTCATTGAAGAGGAAACCGATTGACTTTTGATTGCAATTCATTTCACTATAATTTATTGCATTGATTACACCGATTGACCGCATATTACAGCATAAATACAGGTCTTTATAATAAACATGTCATTCACTCAACAAAATATATGTATTAATTTGTGTTTCAATTTTTTAGTATATAAATCAAATGCCAATTCATTTTATTATATCAACACATAAATCATTTATACAATTGTTTTACTCATTAGTTATAATAACATTTGACATATATTTCAATAATTCAATCATTTGAATAGTGTTTGCGTTGTATAACGTCTCGTAAAACATGAGATCTAAAGAGAGTATTAAACATGAAAAACAAGTGAAGAAACAAATGGTTTAGTAAACAATTCAAATCAAATTGAAAAGCAAATTACAAGCAAAATAGCGATTGAAAAACATAAGTGAAAAAACATACCTGAAATTAAAAGTGGAACTGAAATTATTTCTACTAATGATATACTATTACAATGAGTAGTACTGTCTTCACAACCGTTTAATTCACTCAATATATGGCTAAATATTTCCTCAATCTGTGGACCAGTAGTCTCTTGTTTGCCCTCTTCTTCGTGTTTAGTATGAAAAAGACAGACTAATCCGTGTCTATCGGTCCCATCCGATGACCCAATACATGCAACCCATGAATAGTATTCAAATGTCTTTGATATCATGTAAAGTATGGCAGACATTAGACGCGTCAATGAGAAGCCAATTTGCATAACAAGCAAATCATTTGATGTAATCAATGGTTTTATTTGCATGTATTGTGTGATTAAGTCAACGATCGCTGATTTCTCGTCAATTAGTTCCCAACTGAATGTCTTAAAGGCATTTAATATATAGATATTTCGCTCCGATTTTTTGTTTTCCGCTTTTGACACATACTTTAAATCAGATATAATTTGCATGTTTTGGCCGTCTTTTAATAAATTTGTAAACTGTTTAACAAAATTGTTATTATTATTAGTGTTGAATACTCTCTACAGATACTAAAATACTTTGCTAACAAGGCGAGGGCTGAGATATGGTCTGTCATCAAAGAGTTCTTAAAGAAACCAGAGTCGCGACTTACTTTGTTTACGAAACGAAAGTTAATATCGCAACTTTTCCTTATATTTCATACATTTATTGTATGCAATAATTGCGGATAAATCGCAAAACTTTGAGTTCACTATCCGTTTGTATGGCAAACCGTATGTGAACTTACAGTTCAGTAATAATGCATTGGATTTACTTGTATTTTGTTTCCAGTATTTGCTTTCAATGATTTGATTTTTAAAATCTAATTTATCACTGATTTGTTGCAATAGTTGTAAAAGTTTGCCAAACCATAGATTATCGTAAAATTCATTTCGCTTTCTGTGATTATAACTCAAATTATTTGTTAACAAATCATTCAATCGTTTAAAATGTAGACAATTATTGTAATTATAAACACTATAATTATTAAACACTAATTCATCGGTTGTTTTAATGCTAAATATATTATGCTTTTTAATAAACTTTTTGGCAAATGATTTGTTTGTATTAATGATCTGTTGTTTCTGTTTATCACTCATTGTCTTAAATAAACCTAAATTTCGTTTAATAACTGATTATGAGAGATGTCTATGATTTTATGAAACGATTGTTCCGCTCCCGACTCTATACCAGACAGTAGTTTCTCAAGAATTTCTTTGGTCTCAGCGCTGAATGAAACAAATGCTTTGCTTTCAATTATAGCCAACTTTTCCTTATATTTCATACATTTATTGTATGCAATAATTGCGGATAAATCGCAAAACTTTGAGTTCACTATCCGTTTGTATGGCAAACCGTATGTGAACTTACAGTTCAGTACTAATGCATTGGATTTACTTGTATTTTGATTCCAGTATTTGCTTTCAATGATTTGATTTTTAAAATCTAATTTATCACTGATTTGTTGTAATAGTTGTAAAAGTTTGCCAAACCATAGTTTATCGTAAAATTCATTTCGCTTTCTATGATTATAACTCAAATTATTTGTTAACAAATCATTCAATCGTTTAAAATGCAGACAATTATTGTAATTATAAACACTATAATTATTAAACACTAATTCATCGGTACAAAATTACGATTTATATAATACGAAAAATTATTTGAAAAACCGTTTACTAAACAAACATAATTACTAGACAACAAAGACAAATAGTGAGTAACAGAATTTATTTGGATTTAAAGCAAATTATTGACATATCTGATTTTCGACAAAATATTTGACACATTCTTCCACTTTGTCGACGAATGACTGCCTAAGTGTCAGACGACTAAAGGCAGGCGTCAAGTCTTGGGATTTGTCGACCACATCACCAGTTAATCCACAATTAGATAAAACTTTGGCCATAAATGCCATCAATTCTGGACTCGATTTAAATCCAATGCAATGCTTTATGTTGAGTCTTAAAGGGCGAAATGACCGGCAGCCGAATTTCTGTACCTACACAGACTTCCGTGTCGTGTCGTCTATATGGTCTGTATCACAGCTGGTGAGCTTATCTCACTTCTTGAAGTTGACCAGACATCCCTCGTCGGCCAACACTGACAATGATATTAGTATCTCGCGGGCGATCAACGGACGGACCACTTCCTCCTGAGCTTCGGGACAGTCGACACAATTAATACTTCCGTCGCATGTGATTAAGTGATACTTTTGTATACGTCTTGAGAGCATCTCTTTTTGCAGGTCATCGATAAAACTGTTGTGCAAAATGTCGCCCGTATTGGTTGACCCGAAGAACCAATTATCGTAACAACAGGTCTGACGGATAAACAGATCGTCAATAATGGTGTAATCAATGTCTTCGTAGTATGGATTCAATGTGTTGGCCATCCATTGGATGTCGACATCCGAGTCGTGTGTTTTGATGTAATGGTTGATAGCATTGATGAAACTTCCGGGACATTCACACAATAGTAATACATTTAATGACACTCTTCTGCGATCAGCGGTTCCCGTATTGTCTATACCTTTAATAATGGTCTCAATTAACCGAAAGTCCGACAAAATCTCATAAATCTTAAGCCACGCTTTGGTTAAGAGGAATGGCTTTCGAGACAATTGTCTTCTCATAGACTCGACTATAAGAGACGACCGATCGGTGAGTGATGTATGGATTGACCATTGGGTGAGTGGGATGTCATTCAGACAACTCTTCGCCTCATTTAGTGTCCTCTTCAACGCATCCAATGACTCACAGGTGTCGGTCACCGCTTCCTCCTCGCCATCATATGGTGTCCGAGAGTGATATTCTTCGCCAACAGTATAGCCGATGGTCTGGTCGTGTCTTAGGGTATAATTCATGGCCACAATCGATGGCTGAATGTATGGATGAAACATGTGTTTCAAAAGTGATGCCAAATATTGTCAACAAAAAGAGTCGTCTCTTTGTATGCCATCTGTTGTCTCGCTTTCCTTGACTTCAATGTCTTATCCAAACGCTATTCAATTGGAAATGCTTTTCAAGTTTTAATTGATTTTAAATTATTTATAATAAAAACTTTTCTAAAATTGTTTTGTCAATTGTTTAGCGATTTTATATGTGATGTTAATTCAGATTTGGATCACATATTGTTTGAAGTCTTAAGTAATGTCAAAGCGATGTGGGATTTATTTACAATATTCTTCCTATCCTTCGTGGGAATCGGATTCGTGTCTGTGTTTTGTTGCATCGCTTGTAAACACAGGAATAAGACAAGTCATGTGGCGTACAATTGTAACCATCATTTATCAACTAATGATTACGACAACGCTTTCCTCAATACTAATAATATATTTATAAACGACTATATAATCACTACAAGCGGTGATTCCGGAGTGTGTGGTAATGGTGTTGATTCTGGGGGAGGATATGATTGGGGCGGCTTTGGGGGCGATTCAGGCGGTGGTGGATGTGATGGCGGAGGAGGCGGTGGAGACGGAGGAGGCGGTTGTGATTAAGAGTATTGTTCTCCCAATCAAACCATTCAATATTTTGGTCTGCATTTAATTATATTAATTATATAATTATTTGATTTGTAATTAAGAATATTAAATATTTCCAATACTCTGTCAGCCATTTTTAGCCAAGAGCCAAAAGCTTATTTTTAAATATTTATTAATAAATTATTTTATTCAATTGGAAAGATATTTTTCAATAAATTGTTGTTTATTATAAATTATTATAACTTATAATTTAATTCAAGATTACTATGGATTGGATGATCTAGGTGGAAATTGACAGTTGGTTTGATTTATACTTTTGTCACGATCAATATATTAAGAGATTAACATACGATAAGTTTTAAACAGACTTTTATTAAATGACAATAATATACAAATAAATTGTTTTCAAAATACTTTTTGATTGAATGGCAGTAAATTATATTGAGATTAATTGTTTCATTAATTGAGACATTATTTAAAATATTTATATAAAAGTGTTTCATAAGTGATAAATATTAAGAGATAAAGAAATAGAGAAATATTTGGTAAAAAGTAATGTTTTTGCAGAAATAAGTTGAAAAATATTGTCGAGTATTACATGTAATATAATATTAAAGAATTATAATTATTATAATAATTACAAGAATATTAGCAAACATTTAAAATTCATTACATATTAAAGGCATATATGGTTTGGCACTTAACGAGAATTCAACGGTTCAGTCGTTTACTGAATAATTGTCACAAAAACCTCATATTATTAATAAAAATTCATTATATATTAAAATATTGAATTAAATAAAAAAATTTATATGAATTTCTAATTAAATTGTAAAAATCAAAATAATAATAAAATGCAAAGAAAACTTTAAATGCAATTTTATGCTAAAATAATGGGAAAGTATTAATTAAGTTAATCATAAATCAATTGACTTTAAAACATAGACTAAAACAAATGCTGGGTTAAGAAGTGATCACTAAATATAACGCAAAGAATTACAGAATAATATAATATTCTGGACCAATATATGTGACATTCATATTATGTTTGTAGAGATATTAATGCACTTTTAAATTTACTTTTCAATTATATAATCTAATAATTAGTTTTAATAATTGCTATGAAAATCTAAAACACTATATAATAAGTAGCGGACACTTAAGGCTCTAATTTAAGTCTACGGAAACAGCCGTCGGGCAGAGAGGAGCGGATGTCAGCGATGTTGGCCACGTCTCGCCGCAGTTTCTCGATCTCGTCGTCGTAGTCACGCATCCATCGGTTCTGATCGTCGCGAATGTTCTTCAGTTCAGCCATTTTGTTGTCCAATTCCGCGTCTTTCAGCTCCGCTTCCGCTTTAGCCAAACGGCGCTCCAATTCCTCCAGAAGTGTGGCGTCGATATCATCCAAACCCTCTGTTTTGTCGCATAAAAGATCGTATTTTAAATAATATGAACAAATAGAGTGACTCGACTCCAGCAGTCATACCCAACTGATCCAATATCCCGTCCACAGTTCGCGCGGATTCGGCCACTTTTCTGGCCGCCTCCTGAGCCGATGTCTTTGCCTGATTCGCTTTGCCCAACGCGTCTTTGGCGAGACCCTCATCGGTCTTCGCCTGATCTTCATATCCCTTCATACGATCGGACGTCTCGTCCACTTCGGCGGCCAACTCTTCCGCCTGTCCTTTCAATTTGCCGGCGCGTGTCTTCGTATGGCCGGCCTCTCCGCGAATGCGGTCCGCGTCGTCCGACGACTTCTCGGCGATTCTCTGCGCCTCTTTGGCCACATCGCGGGCCTCAATAGCGTCGGTGAGCGCCCCCTCCAGCGCCTGTTCGGCGTCTGTTGTCTTTCCCTCGGCGTCGGTAATCAAGTCTTCAATTTGTGGCACTTTCTTAAGCGCTTCGTTGGCGCGGCCTTTGCTCTCCTGAACCGTTGCGTCAAACTCTTTCAACGTCTTGAGCGTCTGTTTCGCGTCCTCCAGTATCTTCTCGCCGCCAGCGATGGCCGCTTTGGCCTTCTTGAGCGCGGCGTCGGTGTTGGCCAACAACTCGTCGGTGATCTGTTGCTGTCTCATCGCCTCTTCGAGCAGATCTCTGGCGTCTTTCAACTGATATTTTGTGTTATTCAATAGATTTCCGTGTCTTTCGAGCAAACCGTCGGCGTCTTTGATGAGTCTCTTCGCCTGTTCTATGATATCGATTGCGTCCAATCTGTACCTCTCGGACGGCAGGTTCGGCACCGAAATGGCGTTCACATCGGTATACATCGCCAGAGCGTCGGCGTGCGCTTTGGACGCACCCCTATTGGCCTCTTCCGACATTTTCTCCGTTCGCAGCAACAAATCGGTGGTGTCTTCGAGTTGATCCGTGATCTTCTTCAGCTCCTGGCGATTGGCCTCCTGTGTGTCGATCGCGTCTTTGGCCAAACGGAAAGCCAAATCCGAAGTGTTGAGCGCCTCTCGAGAAGTGCCCTCAATATTGGTGGCCTCCAACTCGTGCCGATCGGCCAGAGTTCGGGCCTCGCGTGCGATCTCTGACATGCGTTGGGACTGTTGTCCGAAGCGATCGGACCTTTGCTGCGCTTTTTCCAAAGCACTCATGCCTTCGGAGTCGAGGAAGCGTCGGGCCTGAGACAGGGCTTCGTTCGCCCGATCGATGATCTGTTCGGCGAGCGTTATATTCTGGTCGCCATAACCGGCAGAAGTGGCGATGTGTTCGCTCTGTTCGGCGATACGGCCGGACGTCTCCTGAACGCGACGGATGCGCTCTTTAAGCGTTTCCAACTGAGCGATGAGAGAGCCGTCTGAGCCCTGCGCCCGACGCGCGTCCTCCAGAAGTCGTGTGACCTTTTCGTTCACTTCGCGCAGTTGTCGCTCAAAGTTGAGGTCTTCGACCACTTGTGGGTTGCGTTCGATCTCTTCCAACAATTGTGTCAATTCTGTGAGTTTCATGCGATGATCGTTGACGGCGTCCTGAACCAGTGTATAACACGGCGGACAATCCAGACAACCGGCCTCTTTGTTGTACTTATTCTCGCGACACCTCTCACACCGACGGCCCTCGACGTTGGGACGACACGGACACTGACCCCTGTCGTCGCATTGGGCGCCCGTCGAGCCGATGGAATCGCACTCACATTTCGTACAGCCTTTGGCCGAGAATCCAAAGTGAAGGGGAAGGCATTCCTGACACTGTTTGCCAGTGACACCCGGTTTGCAGTGACACTGACCGCTGCGGTCATCGCACGTCCGGTTATAGGCGCCGATTGGGTCGCAATCGCATGATTTGCAGCCCTCGTTAGACGACAGATCCCAATAGCCCTCAACGCATACATTGCACTGACGGCCCATTACATTGGGTTTGCAATTGCACTGACCGTTGGCCTGATTGCAGAGCAGCGGTGACTGCGATTGGCTGAGCAGAGATGTGTAGCTCAGGCTATAACTGGCCCGATAGGGAGCGATGGTGGCGGCGGTCCTCTCCTCGGAGTGGGTGCCAAAGGGGTGACAACTGCACGCTTTACAGTTGCCCTTCGGGTGCGCCAAAGCGCTGCCATAATAGCCGGGCAAACACTTCTCGCACTCGTAGCCATAGGTGTTGTAAATGCATTTCAAACACTCGCCGGAAGTGGTGTTACAGTTGCCGACGGCGTTCACATCAATATTGCCATTGCATTGACACTGAGAACAGGCGCCGCTTCCTCCAAATCGACCCATTGGGTCACCAGAGTATCCGTCAACGCATATATCGCACTGATGTCCTGATGGTCGGCGCGGAGTTGACATACAATACAATAGCATTAGTATAAAATATTAATCATATGGTTAATTGGAGTTAACATATGGTAAGGTCATTGTGGTTAACATTGCGATTACCCTTAACCATAACCATTGTTAGTACTGATACCTGCATAGCCTTCGGGACATTGAAGACAGGCGACTGACTCGTCGGGTAAGATAACACACGCGCCCTGTTGTGGACAGGGACACGGCTCGCAGTCTTTGTTCGTACCCTTAAGGGCTGTGCCGTAATAGCCCTCCGCACACACCTCACAGTTATCCCCAGCCGTGTTATGTTCGCAAATACACCGACCTGTTAATAGGGGTTAAGTACCGACACCGGTCCGTGTATTACATTAGTTCATTAATTATGGGTTAAATTTTATTAATATGTCATCAATTAATGAATGAAAATATAAGCATTTGATTAATGCATTTCTTTGGTCTACTATTGCATTTTGAAACCTTTAAAAACTAGTTTTAATAGAATATTATTGGTATTAATGAAATTAATTGATTAATGAGATGACTAGTTATGTGTGGGCGATGACTGCCATACCTGTGTCGGGATCGCAATACTCCGCATGACTATTACAATTGCAAGGAATACATTGACTGAAACTTCCGCCGCCCGGCGGGTCGTGTTTATAGCCGGGAGCGCAGGACTCGCAGTATTGGCCCACATATCCCTCAGGACAAGTGCACATCTCTATCCAAGTGGCCCTTTCGTTGTACGGCAACTGTTGGGCCGACTCGAGTCGGACGTCGCTCACAGATCCGGAACCCGCCGGCGAATACGTCACCCGAACCTTAACGGCCGTCAAGTTTGACAAAACGCTGATAAAGTCTTTGGTGCTGAGACGCGGCGCCCAACCGTACCGGACGTCCTCATGTAGTCTGAACTTGTATTGTTGAGTACGAGTCGATGGCAATGGATTTCCCTGACCGAAGATCGGCTGCGATACCAGAAGGCCGGTGCCCTCTAACATGATATCCTCGACAGTAGCGCGCGGACCCTCTTGTCCTATACGAAGACTGAAGCTCAAGAACTGGTTATATGAAGCCCTTTGGTCTCCGTTGTATTTGTCGGGCGCCACGACATATACGGGCTCTCGTGAATGGGCGGACACGCCTACGCTCTTCTGAGTGGACTCGTACTGTAGCGGTATATCCCTTCCGGAGCGGTCTTTGGCTGTCCATCGCTCGGAGTCGCGATGGAAAGTACTCTCAATGGTGTGCATCGAAAATCCCGGAGCGCTCGTACACTGAGTCGAGTGGCCGTAACAAAAACACGGCAAACACCCGAACTCATTGTCCAGCCGTAGGTCAAAATGACCGGTTCTACACTTGTCGCAGGTCTTGCTCTCAACGTTCTGTTTGCACCGACAATCGCCGCTACTTTGGTCACAGGAGGGCGTGTTGTTATAACTGCCCGACGGGTTACAACTGCACGGACTGAATGGTGGGTAATAAGTAGGCGTTCAGTGTTTTATTCATTAAAATATGTTTATCTCAAGACACATACCTACAGCCCTGTTGCGAGAATTTATGATAATTAGCTGCACAGCGATCGCATCTCTGGCCCTCCACTCCCGGCTTACAAATACACTGACCGGTGCCGATACACTGCAAGCTTATCGAGCCTATCGATTACAATCAGTGAGTATTGTTATAATCAAAATAATAATTCATATGTAATATAATTACCGATTGGATCGCAATTACAGGCCAAACAGCGATTATCGGGTGCCGTATAGTAGTTGTCTCGACATCGCTCGCAATTTGGACCCGAAGTAAAATCGGCGCAATCTTCGCAGTGACCTCCGTGTCCGGTCTTGAGCCATAAATCGCGGTCAAAATAACAACGGTTCGATCTTCCGTTACAATTACACGCTATTCAATGGAAAATCAATTAATTTGGTTGTTGTTATAAATTGAATATAATTGATCTATAATTTATATTTTGTTCAATAAGTGGTCATTACTTTCCCAATCGGTTCCACTCCACACTTGAATAAGACTTCCACTCATACGAAAGCCTTTGCACTCAATTTGTTGCCAAAAAGTTGACAAAAATGATAATAAAGTGATAATAATGAACGGATTTATCGTAAAATCCATTGTAATTTATATATTATTTAATTTTCTATAAAGTTTTTAATGAAACTTTTTTACATTTACGTAAGACTAGAGATTATTTAATAGATTTTTTATTTCATGCCTTAAATGACATAAACTTTTTTTGTTTGAAGCGAAAGAAGACCACTACTGATGGATAGGAATGATGTGAACACCTGTTCGCTAAAACATTTAAATTTAATATCCAATACACTTATACCGAGAGATGTTTGTGACAATTGTGCACAAAAATATGATAAATTTACAAATCGATCACAATTTTGGCCATTAATTCATGTAATCAAAGGGTAAACCACTTTATATAAAAACTACAGCACAGGTATGTAAGTAACTGTTCTCTCGCTTGTGGCCCTTTACGGGCGTTTGCGAGCTCTGCTATTATGAACGCACAGGTAATATACGCTCTGCACTACAGCGTAAAGCCAGGGATATCTAACTTGTATTAAGGTATGTAAGTAACTGTTCTCTCGCTTGTGGCCCTTTACGGGCGTTTGCGAGCTCTGCTATTATGAACGCACAGGTAATATACGCTCTGCACTACAGCGTAAAGCCAGGGATATCTAACTTGTATTACCTATATATTGGCTGCCGGTCTACCTGTGCTCCCATATTAAGTGGGAAGTTGCCTAATCCCACGTAATATACATGTATAAGAAGGCATATATTACTGTCCATTTCTATCAATTTCTT